ATGACTTTGATGTTCTCGACTTGTCAAGCTCCCAACGCTCCAAGACGGCCCTAGAGGCCCAGCGGGACCGCCCCAAGACGGCCCCAGAGGCTTCCAAGGGGCCCCAAAAACGGCCAACAGGGCGCTAAAAGGCCCCCAGGAAGCCACCAAGAGGCCCAAAGAGGCCCCCCAAAGGCCTCCAAGAGGCTCCAAAACTGCCCCCAAGAGGGCGCTCCGAAGAGACCCCAAGAAGTATCCCTGAGAACTCCCACAACCCAGGACCGATTGCGGGATAGGCCGAAGGCCATCATATTCGAGCCCCCTGTTGGCTTGCCACAGGGGTGCCCGGCGTGCAGGATGTTCTGAAAGGTTTGCGGTTCTTTTCAAACTTCCCCTAGGCCTTCGGCACAGCGTGCCGGTCACCCATAAGGCCTGGCTGCACAGATTTTCCTGCTCCAAAATGGCTCCAATAAAACCTCCAAGACGGCCAAGATGGCCTACAAGTGTGACAAATATGGTCAAAGTTGGCCTCCAAGACGGCCCAAGAGAGTCCAAGATCGCCCAAGATGGCCTCCAAGACGGCCATGAGAACTCTGATCCACAACCCAGGCAAAGTGGCGTGATGGGCCGAAGGCCATTCGATAGACGAGGAATCCTAATTGGTTTCTTTCCCATCGGAAGTAAGCTCCTGCGTGGGTTCCCGCTGTGGACTCCTATCTGGGGGAATCGGACGCTGGACTCCCATGGTGGACTCCAATTGGGGACTCCCACTCGTACTGGGATCAGATCCATGTTGGGCCTGCTGGAATCCGATTGTCATCCGATTCGGATATATCCGATTGTTATCCGATTGGGCTCTCGCTGGGAACCTGCTGGGATCTGGGAGGGATGCCGTGCTCAGGGGTCCGGGGCAGGGTATCACATCCAGGGGGCGAGAAGTGGCATAGTTTCGCAGACAACGGGGCTACCAATTGCGTTAGAAGCTCATTCTTGGGACCTTTTGCGAGCCAATCGCTCCGCTCGTGCGTTGAAGCTGCGTCGAAGCTGCGTCGAAGGTCCGTCGACTCGAGTCGAATCTGAGTCGAACCTGAGTCGAACCTGAGTCGAACTTGAGTCGGACTTGAGTCGACCTTGAGTCGAACTTGAGTCGACCTTGAGTCGAACTGGAGTCGAGCTGGAAGCGAAGTGGAGTCGAACAGATCCATTGGGTGTGCTCCAGGAAAGTCCCCAAAACGAGCATCGACATTGCGTCTTACGGATACAGCTTTCATGCTTGGCTTGCCTGACGGAGGGGGGGATACATGTGGGGTACAGCAGCGCGCACCTCTCGTGCACGTGTTGGGCCTCTCGGCGGCAGTTCCGGCGCCGCCTGTAGGGCCCTTGTCTGATCACCCCCCCGTTTAACATCCCAGATGCGCGGCGTCTTGATACAGTCAACGGCCTGACCTGAGGAACGATACATAAGGAACGAAACCTCTTTTTCCAAGGAGTGACGCGTAAGGAACGATAAATAATAGATGACGCAAAAGGAACGATACTTAACGCATGCAAGCCTAGGGAAGACCGAGCCCCTGTTGAAAAGTAAGTGTTCCTTATTCAAGCCACTCACTGTACTTCTTCAACACGAGGTCCCCGAAGGTGAGCGTTTCTTTATTCGGCGTTTCGACATTGGGCGGAAAGGGGGGAGGGGGGGTCTGGCTCCGGACCTCTGCTTAAAGCGACTGTTTGGGACCGTGCATCCTATGGGGGGGACAACACCCGCTCGAAACAGGCGCCCAAGATCTACTCCATGGGGGGGGGGGATTTGCGGGCCCGTGCCGATCGGCAAAGCAACGAATAAAAGAACGACCACATTTCTTCAACACGAGGTCCCCGGAAGTCCAGGCCCTTTCCCCAGGCCCGTTTCTCTCCTCCTCTCGGGCGAGGTGCTCTGCTTGCCCCGCTCGGGGGCCAAGCAAGGGCCCCCCCCAGGAGGCCGAGAGCCGCCAACGAGCACCTGCAGTCGTGGTTTTGCAGCCCAGCGCAAACGCCCTGTCTGGGCTTCAGGGGCGTCCACGAGGGGGAGGCGCAAATCTAGAGGCCTCCTAGAGGGGGTCCGAGTAGATGGGGTAGGAGGATCGCGCCGTATCGCCGATACATCGGCGATGCATCGTCGATGCATCGGCGATGCATCGGCGATGCAACGGCGATGCATCGTCGACGTCGGCAATGCATCAGCGACGTCGACGTGAAGCAAATCGGGCTCCGCATCGAGCCGCATCGCCGATGCATCGGCGATGCGGCGCGATCCTCCGACCCCATCTACTCAGACCCGATCTGGGAGGCTTAGAAAGTCATGGCCGGCGGCATGTGCGCGGCCCAGGGAGGGGGGCCGGGAACGTTTTGAAACAAGAAGGGGCGCCATGAGGGGGGGTCCAAAGGCCCCGACCCCTTCCCCGCGACCAGCGTCTCGCCCCCGATCCATGGCTGACGCTCCCGAGACCCGGTCGTGCAAGGCCCCCCCCTGATGCCGAAATCCACGAACAACTGCCAGATGGAAGCAACACATGTCTGAAGGGGCCCTGGGACACACAAATAAATACACACAAAGAAAAGGATTCCCCATATTTTCCTATACTTCCTGGGTTTCTGTCTTCCCCCCCACATTTCCAATAGATTCCCATATTTCCTGGGGGATCTACGATGAATTGTGTCTGTGTTTTTCCCCCTCCTGAATAACACATGTCGTCGGAGATCTGGGTTTCTGGCGGCGGCGGAGTGCCTGGAGGCCTCCTGGGTGGGCTCCGAGCCGATGGGGCCGAAGGCTCACGCCCGCATCGCCACCGCATCGCCGATGCATCGGCGATGCATCTGCGACGTATCGGCGATGCATCGGCGACGTCGGCGTGGGGAAACGCCCTGTCTGGGCTTCAGGGGCGTCCAGGAGGGGGGCGTCCAAGAGGGGGAGGCGCAAATCTAGAGGCCTCCTAGAGGGGGTCCGAAAGATGGGGTAGGAGGATCGCGCCGTATCGCCGATATATCGGCGATGCATCGTCGATGCATCGGCGATGCATCGGCGACGTCGGCAATACATCGGCGACGTCGACGTGAAGCAAATCGGGCTCCGCATCGAGCCGCATCGCCGATGCATCGGCGATGCGGCGCGATCCTCCGACCCCATCTACTCAGACCCGATCTGGGAGGCTTAGAAAGTCATGGCCGGCGGCATGTGCGCGGCCCAGGGAAGGGGGCCGGGAACGTTTTGAAACAAGAAGGGGCGCCATGAGATCTTTGGGGAGATCTCATGACCCTCGCCATGATATCCACCCCCCCCTAGTCATCACCCCCCTCCCCTTGCTGCCCCCGAGGGTTGTCCCCTCCGCCACCGAAGGCCCAACGCTCGGCGCCAGCGGCGCTCGACGTCCCAGAACGCGCACGGGCGCATGCGGCCGGCGAGCCTCCAGATGCCCCGACCCCTTCCCCGCGACCAGCGTCTCGCCCCTGATCCATGTCTGACGCTCCCAAAACCCGGTCGTGCAAGGCCCCCCCTGATGCCGAAATCCACGAACAACTGCCAGATGATAAAAACACATATCTGAAGGGGCCCTGGGACACACAAGTAAATACACACAAAGAAAAGGATTCCCCGAATTTTCTTGTATTTTCTGGGTTTTTGTATTCCCTCCACTTCCGACGTTTTCCAATATTTTCTGGGGAATCGACGATTACACGCCGGTCAGAAGAAGTGGGAAGAAACATGAAGTAGGAAGGCGTTGAAGTAGATTGGACTTCCGCCCGCCCCCTGAAGCGGAGGAAAAAAGGAAAACCGCTCGACTCTTGGAGTAGGAAGGCGCATAAAATAGATTAGGATTTGGGCATCCAAAAATACATACTTTCAACGACAGGCGTGTAATTGTGTCTGTGTGTTTTTCCCCTCCTGAACAACGCATGTCGTCGGAGATCTGGGCTTCTGGCGGCGGCGGTGCCGGGAGGCCTCCTGGATGGGCGCCGAGCCGCTGGGGCCGAAGGCTCGGACCCGCATCGCCACCGCATCGCCGATGCATCGGCGAGACGCATCGGCGACGCATCGGCGATGCATCGGCCATGCATCGGCGTGGGTCATCTAGCTCCCATCTAGCTCCCATCGTACTGAAGGACCACATCCCAGAACTAATTTCGAGCACCCGGAAAAGAGTCAAAAGAATATCGAAACAGTGTCGAAACAGTGTCGGACGAGTGCCCTCCAGGGCCCGACACGTGAAAACCCTCCAGTTTCGGTACTTCGTTGGTGCTCGATATTCTTTCTGGTGATCAAGGTTAAAGTAGATTGGAACATCAGAAGGCGTGGGGAAACACTCTCCACATCGAGCCGCATCGCCGATGCATCGGCGATGCGGCGCGATCCTCCGACCCCATCTACAGCGGAGGCCACAGTCCACAAGAAGCCTCCCACAAGAAGCCCAGCCCTGAGACCCCAGGACGTCCATGGACTTCGGGTGTGGGAACGCGCCACGCTTGCCATCGCCAAACCATCGAAACCCAAAAAACCAAGGGCACCCGGGAGGCAAGCGGGGTGTTTCTTGGCATGGGCCTCCACTGTACTCGGACCCCATGTAGTCGGGGGCGCGCAAACATGGATTAGCGATCCATGGATTTGGCGCGCGGGCGCCAAATCCATGGATCGGGGGCGGTGCCCTCCCCAGAATGCGGCCGGTGCCGCCTCGCTCGGCGGCGGAAAGCCGTGATTTCCCATGGAAACGGGACCCGTCACTAATCCACGCCCCCTTGATCCATGCTTGCGATCGTCTGATCTAGGAAGCCCAAAGTGCTCAAAATAAAACTCCCCAACATAGTCAAACACAGCCGAGGAATCGCCCCCGTATCATTGCTGGACTATTTTTAAAATATTCCTCCTGTAGAGGGGCGGAATAGCTATGTTTGAATATGCCTCCTGACTATTTTTGAATATGCCTATTCCGCCCGACTTAAGCCTAGAGACGTCGTAATCATAACGCGCACGGGCGCCCCGCCCCCGGGCGCGCCCTGGGGCACGCCGTCGCCGAGCCTCTTGGCGCCGTCCTGGGCGGCGCCCGGGCGCGGCCGCCTTCCGCGCGGCCGCCGCACGTCACAGCTTGGCACTCAGAGATGGGCAAGGCATGACCTTTCCTCGGAGGAGGGAGGAATGAGAGGATGAGGAGGAGGAGGAGGCGGAGGCGGAAGACGAGGAGGAGGGCGAGAATGAGGAGGAGGAGGAGGAGGAGGACGAGGAGGAGGAGGAGGAGGAGGCGCAGGAGGAGGAGGAGGAGGCGCAGGAGGAGGAGGAGGAGGAGGATCGGCGGCTTTTCGCCCCGGAATCCAGAATGCCACGTCGGAGGACAGCGGTCGACACCGGTCGGCGACTCCAGAGGGTGTAGCTTCCAAAGGGTGTGGTTTGCAACCGGCACCCTGGGGAACATCCTGGGGGGCACCCTGGGGGGCGCGCGGGAACCTCGATAGAGCTCTCCCGCAACCCGAGGAGGCCCGACGAGGACAGTTTCGTGCCCCACAGGCCCCAACGGTGCCGATCGCAAACCACACCCCGGCATAGCCATACCCATTGTAGTCGCCGAGCCGTCGCCGTCGCCGCCGGCGCCTCCGCCTTCGCCGGCGCCTCTGCCGGCGCCGCCGTCGTCGTCGTCGTCGTGGACGACGTCGACGTCGTCGTGTCGATTGAACGCCTCGTGGCCTTTTTGGGTTTCCGACGGCCTCCATGTCATCGTCTTCCCTCCTCCCTCCCCACACCGTCTCCTTCCCCCCCTCATCCTCATTGACGGTTGACGATTCGGGTCGGCGGGGGCGAACGATGACGAGAGGGAGGAGGGGGGGCAGGAGGACCAGGAGGACGGGGAGTAAACTGCAACAGGAGCGTGAGCACAGCAAACCTGTGTTGCTCTGCGCAAGTCTACTCTGACTCCTCCTTGATTTGTTCGCCCTTTCCGCAGGGGGCGGAGCTCAGTGGCTACCCACAAGACGGCGCCGTCCTGCCGCCCAGACGGCCCAAGAGGAGGCTATTTGGCATTCGCCAGCTGATGTCAGTAGTGCTGGAGGAGGAGGAGGAGGAGGAGGAGGAGGAGGAGGAGGGCCAAGTTACCCCCCAACGACGGGAGCACGCGCCGGGCCAGGCGTGGAAGGTCCTGACCTGGCATGGCCCCCCGCGCCGACACCGCACCCGACGGGCCTCCCAGCAGGACCGCCTGTAGGACCCCCCCTCCAAATAATTGGAAACAATACAATCGATGAGGACGACGAGGACGGTGACTACGACTGCGATTGCGACTACGTGTACGAGTACGGACACGGATGCGACTACTAGTGCAATTACCCCCTCAATCATTGGAGAACTACTAGCTTGTCGGCGACCTTGGTGACGGGCGGGGGTCCTGCCAATGATGGAGAAACAATAAATGTCTCCGCGGGAACTTGCCGCGCAAGAGTGACGACGACGGCGACGGCGACGATGACATTGAGGACGACGATGACATGACGACGATGCCAATGAGGACGAGGAGGGCGACGACTACGATTACGATTGCGACTACGTGTACGAGTACGGACACGAGTACGGCTACAAGTGCGATTACACTCGCGACTACGGCTACAACTACACTCGCGGCTACAATCACGATTCCATTCATTATAACCACGACATCAATCACGACTGCAACCGCAACCACTGATTCCTACCGCAATCCCTATGAGAAAATGCTCGCAAATCCTCTGGCGTGTAAGGTAACCCAAACTGGATTATTCCATGTTGGGACAAACCAAAGTATACCGCCCGCCCATAGAGAGAGGGAACATCATCTCCGTCGTGACGACGACGACGATGACGACTGCAACCGCGACTGATATTGCGACTACAATCGACTACAAACATAATTATAATCACGATTCAAACCGCACCAATCACGACTACAGCCGCAACCACTGATTCCTAATGACGTCCTCATGAGAAGATGCTCGCAAATCCTATCGCGTGTAAGGTTGCCCACAGTGTACCGTTCCGTGGGAAAGCAACCCACGTTTACCAGTCAGCCTAACAATAGAGGGAAACTGGTCCCCGCCGCGACGTCGACGACGACGACGACTACGATTACGACTACAATCGCGACTACAGCCACAATTTCGATCACGATGACAACCACGACTACAACCACAACCACTGATTCCTATTGCCGTCCTCATGAGCAGATGCTCTCGCGTGTAGGGTAGCCCGAACGGTTTATCCCCTGGGTGGAAAAACAACGCCCCCAACATGATCAAACCCGCCTAACAATAGAGGGGACTTAGTCCCCGCCGCGACGACGAGGATGACAACAACTGCGATAACGACCACGAGGAGGAGCAGGAGGACGACGAGGAGGACGACGAGGAGGAGGGGGAGAGGAGGAGAAAGAGGAGGAGGAATAGGAGGAGGAGGCGGAGGAGGAGGAGCAGGATGAGGAGGGGCGAGGTGGTTCCCCGCGAGGAGAAACAGGGGGGCGTGGGGGCAAACTAAAGACCTCCTGAGCTTAATCAGTCAAATCCAACCTCACTTGCACCAGAAGCTCCTTCTCTTCCAAGATGACTACGCGTGGCCCAAGAATTCTCCATGACCCATGGTCCAAAACGCTCAAAGACCAGCGTCTGACCCCACCCCACGCGGCCCCTCTCATACAGCCGCATTGCCCGCCAACCCCCAATTACCCTCCAGGGCGACCGCGAGACCCCAAAGATGGCCCATGGAGGCCTCCCAAACTGCATCCAAAAGAGAACCGCAACAACCTGCCTAGCTGGCGTCGGCGGCGGACACGATCCGTCGCGCTGAACTGCCGAATGCGCGAATTTCTTGGATCGGTGCTGGTTCTACGCGGAGCGGGCCAGGAGCGGTGTCGCAGGTGCCGCCAGGGGGATCCAGAGCCGAACCAAGAAATCCGCGCGGACCCCCAAGTCTATGTATGCAACCCAACCCGCCCAAACTACCCCACTCCACGCGAAATCACAAGCTTCGGGTTGGGGGGCGTATAGGTCCCAGCCTTTTTTCTCAGGGCTTCACCATGTCCCCCCACTTGGAACAGAAGGCAAAGTGGGTGGGAGTGGTTGAGGGGGTCGTAAATTTCAGCGGACATCTGCTTAGTGCGATTGCTGACAGCAGTGCGATTGCTGGCTCCACCCCCCTGAAACAGGGGCCCCAAACAGCCAAGATCCACTCCATGGGGGGGAAGGAAGGGCGGGGTGCGAAGGCCGGCGCCGGTCGGCAAAACAATGAATAAGAAACCGATCCCCGTGTTTTCTCAATGTTTTACCATGTCCCCCCACTTGACACAGAGGGCAGAGTGAGGCCTTCGGGTTGGGTGGGGGTGGTGCCTCCTCCTCCTCCTCCTCCTCCTCCTTCTAGGGTTCGGTTGGGCCTGTCCCCCTACATGTGGATTGTGGGCGAGAAAAAATATTCAAAAAATGTAAATGTTCAAAAATAGTCAAAACATCGTCCCCGTACTATTTTTTCAATGTTGTGGAATTTTCCTCTTGTACAGGGACACGCCCGACTTAAGGGTGGGGGTGGGTGGTGGAGTGGGCTGTGAAATTCCGCGCGACCCTGTGGTGCGGAATGCACCCTGTCGTGCTGCGACCCTGTCGTGCTGCGACGTTGGGCGTGGCTTGATGGTGGGTCATGAATGGGGTGGTCCGAAACGGTCCCCTTTCGTGCTCCTCCGGAGCCCCAGGGGGCTCGATTGGGTACCGTTTGGGTACCTTTTCGGACCACCCTCGCCACCCCCCCCACTTCAGGCATACAACAGCGCCGTCTGACCATTTGACATGTTCACCACCTCCAAAAGGCATTCCGTGACAGACATAGCCACTTTGCTGTTGCAGAGCGCTCGTCGCCCAGAAGGTTGCTTGAGTTTGCATTGCGGGGGCAAAAAAACATGTACGACCCCCCATGACGCAACACCCAACGACGGCGCCCCGGGCGGGCGCCCGGGCAGGAGTACGAGAGCAGACCGCGCAGCTGGAACGACGCACCAGCGCACAAAAACGCACTCGAGGAAGACGCAGGTCTCGGATCGGACGATGGCAATATCTCGCAGATTTGGAGTCCCGAAACGGTGCGGTGACGGACCGTGCGGTGACCTCGACCTCCCCCAAGACCTCACCGCACGGTCCGTCACCGCACGGCTTTGGGACCCTGGAGGCCCTTGTCGCCCGAGTCATCCTCGGAGAACGACCCGAGTCCCAAAACCGTGCGGTGACACCGAATCCCCACCGACTCACCACGCGGTGTGGTCACCACACCGTTTGGGAGCCCCCGAGCAGATCACGACACGGCCCTGGAAGCACCGGACAAGACGTTCCTGATGAAGACGGTGGCAGGGGATCGGACGATGGCAAGATCGCAGATTATGGCACCACGGCGATGGGACTCTCTTTGCATGGAAGAAGCGGCGGTGGACAAACCTCCTTTTTGTAAACCTCCCCTTGCTGAAGACGGCCTTGGACCGAAACCGACGGACCTGGACCCGCAAAAATGACGGCCGCGACGCCCTCTCGCGAACCGAGAACGGCCAATTCCTGAATCGGCGTGTCAGGGTAGGAGGTCTATCAAACTCCGAAAGGAAATGGGCCCTGTGGGCAACGGGGGCCTCCCCCCAGAACCTAAGCTGTCCAGGGGCGTCTTCGGACCATCCCGGGGCCCGTGGATGGCCCAAGGAAGCCTTGAGTCGGGCCTGCCCTCCTTCAGGGGGATTGTGGATGAAAAATGTACAATAAGAAAACAATATCCCAACGTGGTCAAAACAATAGTCACAAAAATGTCCCTAGACAATGTTTTGACTATTTTTGAGTATTCCTCCTGTGGAGGGACAGGCCCGACTCAAGGAGCGCCGGGAAATGCGAGAAAACTCGGGACCCCTTTCCCTCCGGGCCCGTCTCCTTCGTGCAGAGTGCGGGAGTGTTTTATGTGTCCCGCGTCGCACGACCGGAGGCAAAGACGGGCAAAGAATGGTACAGTGGAGGTCATCGGGTCTCCAATGAGCAACGCGGCCGCAGACCCTGCAGCGTCGCAAGGCAAGACGGCAATCGGTCTCCGAGGATCCCCGCGACTGTCGCGCGCCCAGCACACGCAGGAGGTGAAACACACGGCCAAGATGGAGCGAGGCGGAAACGGGAACAAAAAGGAGGAAGCGGTGGACGGACACTCAGGGCATAAAATCATGTGCGCCGAGAGCCTCGTTGGATACATGAGCAGGGGGCAAATACCAGCACCTGAAGCAAGCTGCTACCGAAAAGCTGCTCAACTATATATAAACCTTCGGAGGTCCGCGCGATGTTGTTGGGGTCGGCGCTGAGATCTCATCCCTGCCCCCTTTCCTTGCCAGGGTCGGCGACAGATTTGAGCAGGGACCGACCGTCCCGGCAGTCCTACAGGCCTACCACGGAACGTTCTCTCAGAACCCACAACTGTTCGAAGAACAACAACGATGCTCTTGGAACACAAGCCCGATGCGTTAAAACAACACAGTCTCAACACGCTTCGCCACGGCTTGCTGCCCCCTCTCCGTGCCGGCGTCGGCGCCAGCTGCGCCGCCAGGGATGTGGCGAGGGAAGGCTCCAGCGCCGACCGCAGAAACCTCGCGCGAACATCCGACAATTTCACTGCGTGTGCCCTCCTGCCCTCTGGACAACATAGAAAAAGGGAGAGCAGCACAGGGAACTCCAAGAACGCGGCGACATCACTCGGGATCCACCAGAAAGGGGGGGGGGGACCCTGAGAGGGGGCAGGAGTTCGATCCGCTGGTGCACCGCAGCAATCAGATGCCCCCCCGTATGACCCCCCCCCTATCGGCAACCATCGGGAGCTGCCTGCGGCTGGGGGGCATCTGTGTTGGGCGGTTCGGGGCAGAAGCCGATCGAAGTCACACACACACACACAAACACACACACACACACACACACACACCGGGGCACACACCCCCTCTGCGGGATCCCGACTCACATCACACAGGACGACTCCGTGGAGCACCCGACCACAAAAAAAACGCCGCGCGGCGTGCCTGCCCGAGCCAACCCGTGTCCGTCTGTCGGAGGTCGGTGGTCCAGGGTGCTGGGACACCGCGCAGAGGAAACGGCTGTCGCTCGAGCGGCGGACTCGATCCAGCCTGAAGCGCAACAGAAAAGGGAAGACCGAAAGGTACTGATACCGCTACTCCCCGCCAGACCTCTCCCGGGGTGCGCTCTGACCAGGATTTCGAGGCGGATCCACCGGTGGCGACGACGGCCTCCCAGGAAGCCTTTGAAAGGAAAACCGAGGGGATGGTAACGGTATCAATGCCTTTTCCTCAGCTGCGATCACCGCTCGGCCGTGCCGAGAAGACAAACACCGAAGTAACACCTGGCGCCACAGGGGAGGAAGAGCGGGGGTTGCTAAGGTCAGGGGAGGGGGGGGCAGGAGAAGATCGAGGCGGGGGCCAAGACGGAGGAAGGCGTGGATGTGGTGGGCGGGTGGGGGTGGGAGGCAAGGAGGCAGGGAGAGAGAGAACGAAAGAGGGCGGGAATGAGATGGAGACAGATGGAGAACGGAAGGAGGAGGTGGATGAGGAAACGGAGGGGAGGGAGTCGTCTGCTATTCCAGTAGAGCCATATACAACTGAATTCTGGGTCACGCCATAGTGCGCCGAGACTGGACCACCATAGTACACCTCCACAAGCAGAGCGACAGGAAGAGGCATCATCACCACAAACGTGCACCACAGGCAAGGAAATTCCGCACAGGTGTGAGGCACGAACCTGTGACAAGCACGAATGCGAGGGACAGGGAGGGGGGGGGAGGAGAGAAGGCAACTCAGAGCGTCGTAAGCTGCACGTGGAAGACCCCGAACCTGCAGAAGGGGCTGGAATCAAGTTGCTCCCATCGCACTCAGGGGCCACATCCCAGAAAAAAAATCGTGCACCCAGAAAAGTATCGAGCCAAAGTCGAACGAGTATCGCCTCCCAGGGCCGTACACGTGAAAACCCTAGAGTTTCGGTATTTTCTTGGTGCTCGAGTTGTTTCTGGTGTGAGTATCGTTCAACCGATCCCCATCCCTAACGGCGTGGTCTGGACCCCACGGCCGATTCACCCCCTAGATGGGGATATAGGTCGTTCTCTTCGGGTTTCGAGGGGTGTATCCCCAACTGGGGTGGTAACTTGGTGGGGGTCTTGGAGGGGAATGGAGATGGGGATGGGAATCAGTTGAACGATACCGGCGAAATTGTTCTGGTGAGCAAGGCAACAGTAGGCTGGAACATCACAAGACTGCAATAGTTGGGCAGTGCACATTAGGCGAACCAGTGTCACCTACACCGAGGCTCTCCTGCCAAGCCTCGCTGCAGCTGCTTCGCCACGCGCCTCCGCGTCCGCCTCCATCTGTGCTCCTCGATCCACTCCCGCCTCCTCCGAGGCTCGGCCTCCTTCCTCCTTCCTCCTCCTCCTCCTTTTCCAACTCCTCCTCCTCCTCCTTTCCCTCCTCCTCCTCCTCCTCCTCTTCCTCCCCCTCCGCCTCCCTCCTCCTCCTCCTCCTC